AATATTGAAAAAAGCCCTACCTCAGGTGTTAGGAAACCTGGATTTGAATCTCCCAGGTATAATCTCTCATTTGATTGACCTTGAAAAAGTTGCTAATCTTATTTTTAACACCCAAACATAATTCTAGTGGCCCTACCTAGTTTTTACGATTTCTATGAAGATAAAGTAAACTAATATATGTGTAAGTAAACTAATATATGTGAAAGCATTTGGAGATCCTATAGCTAAAACAAAGAGGAGCAGCTGGCGGGAAGAGGGAAAGAAAGGAAGAAAGAAAAAGAAGGAAGGGAGGGAGGGAGGGAAGTAAGAAAAAAGGAAGGAAGGAAAAGAAAGAAAGAAGGAAAGAAGGAGAAAGAAAGAGAAAGGAAGGAAGGAAGGAAAGAAAAGCAAAAAGAAAGAAGAGGGAGGGAAGGGAGGGAAGGGAGGGAGGGAGGAAGGAAGGAAGGAAGGAAGGACAGACTATGATATTCAATATTCTATTTTAAAGGTTTTATCAATTCAGAACACTCTTCAGTGATGTGAGAAATATCTCTGACAGAATTATTATATTCTGGTTAATGGCCATTCCAAATTATACACTGTGCTTATGTTTTTGGTGAATGTTTTCCCCCTTATTCTATTGTCTTCACTATATTTGGTGGGGAGAAAAAAAGGGAATGAGCCACTTTCTTTTGATGTACTAAGAGCTTGATTAATAACAAAAGCATCAACACTATCCTAGATCTACAGATTGGCAATGGACCTTCACTGATGGATGAAGGGGTTCTCCCTAAACAAGAGCACCTGGGGAGACTTATTATTAGGAAATGTTAATGTTTCATGTGCTTCCTTGAAAGGGTAAACAACAGCTATGGAGCTAAATTAGCAGCATCATTGAATACAACTGACAGGGTGAGTTTCGATGGACACAAGCTTGTCAAGGTGGTCTGAAAACAATAGCACATCCTTCTTTGAGCCCCCACTGTTTTTTAGAGTAATCATCTAGAAAGCATATTTAAATTTTGAACAAGCAAATCATATAATTATTTCTCAATAGCTTGTATTAGATTGGGGGAGAGGGGCAACAGTGTGATAAAATTAGTTTCCAACACCCCAGCAACTGAGGGGTTTTTTGTTTGTTTGCTTGATTGACTGTTGAGTGTTGTGGTTGTTTATAGTTTCTTGTGATAAGAGAGAGCATATTTTTTAAATTTTAGTTTCTCATCAAAAGGATTTCCTACCATCAAGCCAACAAGATCCAGATGTAATTTCACTGATGAGCAAGACGTCTCTGCCAACTGAATTCCTATTGATTAGCATCTGATTTTATTTGTCAGCAAAAATAAAAACATATTCTTTAATGGCACGTTTGGTACATAACCAGCGGGTTTAAGTGGTGGGAGGGAAGGGTGTGGATGGAGGGGCCTCTTTCAGAAGCTGATGAAATTATATTAATGTGTATGATCATTTCTGCTCTCAACCAAATAAATAACATTCGTCGTCTTAAAGCAGCCAACGTTTTGCCCTGAAGGTGAAAGGACTCGTTGGCTTGCTGTCGTTCTTCATAGTTGGAAGCTGTCATGGCCTGGGATGGGGTATGTGATGTGCTGACTGTGGGTCCAATGTCACTCACTTTCTATCCGGCTTCCTGACTCCTCCTCCCTTGAGGGCTTGTTGGGGGATCAGACACAAGCCAGTTACTCTCCCCAGGCGGGAAGAATGACAACTCCTAATGACTCATTCCAGCTGTTTGTGGAGATAAGGCAGCATGAATGCAGGCCCCACACCAGAATAGGATGAAGGGGATTTCTAGGATCACAAAGCAGACCTAGACTTCTATAAAAAGCCACGCATATTGATAGACTACAGTTACTGAATATATTAGCATTTACCAGGAACTTTTTCACATGTTATTTAATCTGACCATGACTAATCTGATGATGTCATTATTTCTTTGTTAAACATGGGAAAATCAAAGTCCAAAGATATTGAGTGACTTATCCAATATTATGTGACCATAAGGTACAGACCTAAGGGTTGAGCCAATGCCTGAGCCCCAGTGTTCTTTCTAATATAATAGACTTTCTATACTTTATTTCACACTGCTGTAAAGACATACCTGAAAATGGGTAATTTATAAAGAGAAAGAAGTTTAATGGACTCACAGTTTCACATGGCTGGGGAGGCTCATAATAATGGTGGAAGTCAAAAGGCACGTCTTACATGGTAGCAGACAAGAGAAAATTTGTGCAGGGAAACTCCCCTTATAAAGCCATCAGACCTCATGAGACTTATTCACTATCATGAGAACAGCATGAGAAAAACCTGCCCCCATGATTCAATTACCTCCCACCACACGTGGGAATTGTTGGAGCTACAGTTCAAGATGAGATTTGGGTGGGGACACAGCCAAACCTTATCAGCTTTATCAAGAAAATATATGTTCCATGCTTGTCAAGTGAAACGCTGCTTCCTGTTGGTAAGGATGTTATTTTCTGATGAAAACCTTTTATTACTAATCACATAAAATTTCAAAAATTTATGAAAGCAAATAACTTATTACTTAGGTGTCATAAGGAAAGAGCATGGGGAATCAGTGTTAATATTCAATCTAACCCATATACCTATCAGTGGAAAAACTTGATTTCTTTAGTAACTGCATATACTTCTGTCACATTAACCTGTGTGTCCTTATATCATGAGAGGGAAGCAAAAGGGTGCACAACATAATTAAGTAATAGAAAAAATTTCCAGGAATGACTTAAATGAAATGGATTTTCTTAAGTGATTGACCAAAGATCTATCAAGAGTTCCCACTCAGTTCCTGATGCAGTCAAGAGTCTTTCTGGTCAATTATGGCCCTCAAGGAATTAAGAGGTCAGAATGCCCTCACAGTCTTAGGATAAAGAGTAGCAAGAGATAGATAGAGAAATCTGGCATAAAACTGTGGACTATCTTGTCTATGTAAGCCTAAGATTTTCTGAGAAGAGCCCACTGGCTCTTAAGTGGTGATAAGGATGTAGTCACCTGAAAATGGGCAAGCTGTCATCTTCAAGTAAATGAAATGTTCTTTCATAAAGCAAACTCATGAAGCACGACTCAAGGTGGAAAATATTGTGGTATTAGAATTTGTATGTAACTCTCTGTGGGAGAATTCAGGAAACTTCAATCTTTGATTTATCTATATCTTATTCCTATCTAGATTACCTTTTCCAGTAATCCTATTATTCACTGTCCATTAAGCTAGTCTCCTGTTAACAAATTCAGACTTCTCTAAGACATACTCATTCCCTTTAGGTCTTGCTGGACTTTTACAATGGACAGTCAATGGTACTGTGATCCTTCCTTCCACATCCACTATCTCATAGTCACTAACACTCTTCTCCTGCTGTTCACCCCACTAGTCAAATGTTCATTCTTTGACCCCCTTTTCCCATTTTATTATATCTGCAGCTAATGTCTTCTTCCTCTGCCTTGCCCTTGAAGCTGATGCCAAGTTTGCTTTAACATAACCTAAGCTTGATGGTGAAACACTTTGGGCAGTTTCTAAGGTGTGGCTGAGTAGAATTTTCAAAGTGTTTTCTTGGCTCAAAGAGTCAGCTAAAGTTCTTAATGATAATGTTGATAGTAGGGAAATTCTTTCTAATTAGAAAAGCAAAAAATATATACATATGTACCATATATAATAGATGTATAAATATATTTAAATATAAATATTTAAAATATTTCTATAATAACATACACTATAATAAAAAGAGAGAAATAGCTACATGATGTACCAGAAAAAGTATTAAGAAACAGTTTAAGATAAAGATCTTTCTCTAAAAGATCTCTCAGTTTTACTGATTTGCACTTTAATATTATGTTGAACATTTTTTCTTGTGAATTTTTTTTTACATTTCTGTGAAACTCTTATTGAGGATGTTATCACACATCTCAATTTTTGTCTCCTAGTAATGTAATGTAAAAAAATTTTCTGCCTTTAATCTTAAGAAAAAAATAAAAATTGTGTTTGAAAAATACCACTTTATGTAATTTGTCACATTTTTATCTTTAATTTGTTAGGATTCATTGAGCCAAATATTGCACTTAATCATAACACATTTAAATTATGGTTAGCATATTTGCTTCCTCCTTTTTACTCAACTGTATTTTCCTCTTTTTAAGGCAGTTTAAAATCATTTTTGAAGGAGACAGATAATAAATAAATAGATAAGTGTGTCTTTTAGAAAAAATATCAAGGCAGATTTTTTATAGTGATGGGATGACTATATGTTCAGAAAATGTAGATGTAGTACAATTTTAAAAATGGGAGAAAAAGACGCATATGCAAAAAAGTTTTTAATATTAGTAATTATATTGTTGGTGATGATATGAGCATTATTCAGAGACTGTGTGTGTAATATGGGATAAACTAGATGAGCAATTATGAAATGTTCCAATTCTATCATCTTCAGTGTCCTAGAGAACTAGCTTATTTGGTGTGGAAGAAAAGAGACACAAGTGTAACAGAGGAGAGGGTAAAGTAGAAACCCCTGTTTGAATCAGAAGCATCAGAATAAATGTATGAAGCAATTTATCTTTAAAAAATAATAATGTAGATGTATAAATTCAGTATAGTTCCAGTGAAAAATCTAGCATGTTTATGTGTTTATGCGTGTGTATGTAAAAATCAGCAAGCTGATTCTAAAATATATATAGTAAGACAGAGGAATCGTGGTAGCCAGCATAATTTTGAAAAAGAACAAAGTTGGAGGAATCACACTACCTAATTTCAAGACTTCCTATGAAGGTACAGTAATCAAGCCAGTGTGGTAATGGCAAAAGAATAGACAATATAAATCAATTAAACAGACTAGAAAGTCCAGAAATAGATACACACATACATGGGTTAATTGATTCTTTTCAAAGTTAAAAAAGCAATTTAGTGAAGAAAAGATAGTCTTTTCAGCAAATGGTGCTGGAACAATTGGTTATCCATATTCAAATTCAAATCTTGATCCATATCTTGCATCGTATAAAAAATTAAAGGGGATCATACACAATGTGAAACCTAAAACTATAAAAGTTCTAGAAGAAAGCACAGGAGAAAATCTTTGCCCTGTCTGTCACCGCTTTTGCCTCTAGAAGCAAAGACAATTTCAGTCTATTAACATTGTGCTTCCTGGAATCTGCTGGATGTCTGATCCATAGGCAGTGGAAAATGATGTCTCTGGGGGGTACCTTCTGACAGCGGGAACCATGTGGTCCAAGTGGTCGCAAGCACACTCCCTCCTTTATGATTCGGCTGCAGGAGGTGTACGTAGCCATTGCATCTTGACACAGTGGAGAAAATCATGTTATCTCCTCTCTTTCCCATTCTTGCAAAGGGCCCTGCTGGGTTTAAATGGCCATTTGGAGCCAGCCTTCGTTTTATCCTATGAATTAGAGGAGAGAGCGCTTCTTGTCCAGTGATGGAAGAAATTCATGGTGTTCCTCATTCTCTTTCCCACTGATGATTTGTTTTGCAGTCTCTCCCTTGGTAGTGCTCTGTAGCAGCTGCTCTTTTCTCTTTGCTGTGTGTGTCTCATTTTTATCTTGGCAGACAGGGCAATTTCTTTGAAATAAGGCCCCCTTTCTCTGTTGCAAGCGACCTTGAGACATTCCACGCTATCATTCCCCAGCTGTATTAGTGACTCCAAATTCAATTTCAGGGTTCTTGAAAGCTTTCCCTTGTCCACCTTGTGATCGGTTGCCTTTAAGTGTCTTACAAGGCAATTGCTGTGGGATCCTTGTATCCATTTTAGTATGTGCCTAACTTAGCCAAAGAGAATTGCAGCAAGCAAGACTTCAATGCCTGGGGCCTGGCAGTGATCCAGCACCTCTGTTGTCTTTGGATGCTGTGAATGGCTAGTAATAGGAAAAGAGGGAAATGTCATGCTAGGACTGTGGGGTCCAGATCATGCAAATCATTTACCAATATATAGTAGAGACTCAATTACTCACAATATATATGACCAAGAGTGCTTTTTCAATAGGAAACTTGAATAATAAGCAATTATAGGCATATATTAAAATGCAGATGCATGCTTCTGATTGATGGGTGGAACGGTATACATGGTGATGCCATTGAAACATGCTATTTGTGGTTGTCATCAATTATATTGGTGTTTGTCAAGGAACAGCCTTCTGAAACTCAGCTTCCTCATTTGCAAAATTTATGTCTAAGGTGTTTTTCAGGTCAGGCTCTTTAGGCCTTCTAGCCTGGTGAGTATCCAGAGATTTTTTTCTTTTTTTAATTCGGTTGACCGCGATTCCTTGCCTTTCTATCTCACAAATCCTATCCAAAAATAAGAAATAGGTTTCATCTCTAGTGCCCAGGATAATTGAGTGTTCCTGGCTGCCTGGGTTTCCAAAGATTCTAAGGCTGTGCTGAGGATCACCTGGGAACAAGCTGGAGGAGCAGTAGCAGGGATGTTCCAGGTGTGCCATTTGGAACCTGTGGATTTATTCCCATTACATTCTTACCCCAAGTGTCTCAACCGTTTCCTCTCCTCCACATATCTCCCCCTCGGTGGAATTCATCCTGTCTGAATAATATCAACTGTACCTACCGACGGAATTTCAAAGAAGTTTACAACATCCTGTCTTTTTGAAAAGTTAACAGATTGTAATTACAGGGGAAACTGACAGGGATTAACAATAGAGTTAGGGGTTCAAAATTAAACAAAACTCCAAAAGATGAGTTATACCTAGTCTTTATTACAAAATAAATGGGTTAGTCCAGTATTATGGCATTTCTCAGAATCCCTCCTTAGATATTCATGAAAGAGCAGATCTTTTATCCCCCTCTTATACTCTCATTCCTCTGAAGAGAAACACCCACACTGGCTACTACTATTTCCTGGACATGATAAAGCACATTAGTAAATGCCACTTAGGACGACTTTCAAGGATCTCAACATTCAAAGGAGATTCATTTATATCGCAAGTGAAACTAAGCCCTAATAATTTTTCTGCCATCTTAACCACCAATCTCCTGTCTTTAAACAGAAAAGATCAGCTTCAGTCATTACCCGAAAATGTGCTCAATACTGAATAACATTTTAAATTCCAGGATTGTCCAATCAGCCAAAGTATCAACCAAAATATCCTGGAAAGATTCGCTATCATTGACTGGGAATAATTGTTACTATTTTTAATACTAAGTGCACCATGCTTTCTCTGTCTATTAAGGCTGTTGGTGTCTGAAATTTCAAATGTTTACCCATTATATTTAGTGCAATCCAGTCTTTTGAATTCAGAAAAGTGATGCCCTCTCTTTAGTGTTGCATGGATTTAGCTCTCTTTAGCGTGCTGCATGGATTTAGCTAGCCATTTTGAGGAGCTCAGGCCCATGTGTGTATACGTATGTTGAGCGTGTATGTGTGTTTGTGTGGGTGGGTGGGTATGTGTGTGTGCACGCTTCTGTATGTTTGGTGGGGTAAATGTCAGTATTCCCCAGATGCACAGAATAAGCAATGGGAGAAGAGGGGCGAAGATGAGGAAGTAAATGCTGGAGCATCCTAGACCAGTACATGCTCTATCCCTTTACCTGTCCAGACTTCATTCTCCCTCATTCTAGTGGCTCTGCTTTTAAGGGTGGGGAGGAGATCTATTTCCATTTTTCAAGATGCCTAAAAGTTATGGATAGGTTTCTAAACTTTCCTTTAAATATGGGCTTCTTAACACATTATGCTGACACAATTATGAAGTCTTTTAAACTTTGGTATTTGTCATGAGAATATGTATTTTTCTTGTCTAAATTAGCAATCCACTTTAGTGATGGCCTGTATTAGTCTGTTCTCCCCCTGCTAATAAAGACATACCTGAGACTGAGTAATTTATGAAGAAAAAGAAGTTTAATGGACTCACAGTTTCACATGGCTGGGGAGGCCTCATAATCGTAGTGGGTAAGTTGAAGGAGGAGCAAAGGCATATCTTATATGGTGGCAGGCAAGAGAGCTTCTGTAGGGGAACTCTCTGTTATAAAACCATCAGATCTCATAAGACCTATTCCCTACCACAAAAACAGTACGGGGGAAACTGCCCTCATGGTTCAATTATCTCCACCTGGCCCCACCCTTGACACATGGGGGTTTTTACCATTCAAGGTGAACCAAACCATATCACAGCCCCAGTGCCTGGAATGGAGCTTAGTGCAGAGTATGCTATCAACAAATGTTAAATAAATAAAGTTGTTCAATATTAGTAATAATATCATTTATCTTGCCCTTTATTTTAATATTAGGAAACACAGAGAACGAATCTCATTTCTTAACCTTAATGTAACAAAAGGAAAATGACATAAAAGATCATCTCACAAACTAGACCTGGTTCTAGAACTCAGGTACACTGACCCCTGTTGAGTTTCTGATTCTTCCCTCCTCTCTAATTCACCATCCTATTAAAAACAAGAGCTGTATTCCCATTTGTCTTGGTGCTGTTTCTATGTTTTGAAAAGCAGGAAGGCTCAAAGGCCATCTTTCATGAAAATGGCCCATGCCCTAGAAAATGTGAGACCTACTGTTATAAAAATACATTATTTTCCTTTCTATTCTGCTAAAATAATTTTTTTAAAAGTCAGTCCAAAATTTCACTACGATTTGTGCCCCAGATATCTGACACCTTTGTGGAAAATGTTCCATAGAAAATGTTTCCCTGTGAGGTCATTACATTTAGACCACCGCAATCTGCCATAAAATTTAGATAGTGAAAATAGAATGCTACTTCTTTAAAAATGACTATTTGACATATATCCAAAGTATAACAATTGTATTAGTGAATGGCTCAATATATTTGGTATATAAAATTCAGAAGTACTGGATAAGGGCCTTAGTGAGTTATTTTTGTTTAAACTCTGCATTTTCCCTAGAGATTCTGCCGTCTGTCAAGATTAAGCTGTTTGGGACTTAATATTTGTTGTGAAATAAATGACTTTGATCTCGCAGATGCCATGGAGACACCGGGTGGAAAAGCCCCATTACTCAGAGAGAAAACAAATTTCATGGGCTGCAGGCATACATTCTGAATGTCAAGCCTGGATACAGTAGCCATTCTCCAAACAGAAATTGAAAGATCTGTAGAAAAATGTCTGTTTCCGTAAGAGGCAGTTTGTCACGGAAGGATCAACAGATCTATCTCCACATGGTCAAACAGGATTTTTGTGAGTCAAGGCCACTGCTGGGGAACAATTAGGGTTTATGTGTAGTACCACGTATCTCCTTTGACGCATCTCTGTGAGTCCACTAGATGCAAGCTCTTTAAGATCAAAACTAGATCTTTTTTACATTTCCTGATATGGTGTGGTTGTGTCCCCACCCAAATCTCATCTTGAATTGTAGCTCCCATAATTCCCATGTGTCATGGGAGGTACCCAGTGGTAGCTAATTGAATCATGGGGACGGGTCTTTCCCATGCTGTTCTCATGATAGTGAATAAGCCTCACAAGATCTGATGATTTTATAAAGGGGAGTTTCCCTACACAAGTTCACTTGCCTGCCACCATGTAAGACATTCTTTTTCTCTTTCTTCATCTTCCATGATTGTGAGGCCTCAATCAGCCATGTGGAACTCTGAGTCCATTAAAGCTCTTTATTTTATCAATTACCCAGTCTCTGGTATGTCTTTATTAGCAGCATGAGAATGAACTAATACATTTCCCCACCAGCCTGGCACATAGTTAAATGCTCAACAGAATTGTTCTGAATGAACCAATTTACAGCAAAAAGAACTGGAGTCTAGGCCAGTGGTTTTCAACCTAGGAAAATTTTACCCCTACCCACAGAGGGACATTTGGCAATATCTGGAAACATTTTCAGTTGTCATGACTTGGGGGCATGTGCTATTAATGTCTAGTAGGGAGAGGCTAAGGAGGCTACTACATGTGGTACAATGCTCAGGATGGCCCCCACAGCAAAGAACTCTCTGGTTCAAATTGTGAATACTGCTGAGCTTGATAAACCCTGCCATAAGCTATTAGAGGGAACACATGTCCTTCATTTCCTAGGTTTTCTTTCCACTGGAGATAACCCCATCACACCTAAGGCATATGATAAACCTCTTGCATGGTTCAGAATTCGGGTGGAGAAAATAAGTGCCATTAATGGACACCCAGGCCCCCAAATAGGCCATTCTTGACATTCACTGAGGCCTGCAAATTTGTTTCATTAGGAACATCCTGTGCTCTCACCCCAGAGAGTTCTGGATTTCTTCTGAGCAGATAGTCACTTCCAGGAGCAGGTCCTGCCTGGATGGATATGCAAGCATGTACTAATGCTACCAGAAAAATGCCTCTACATTATTAGGATTTATGGGACCTAAAGATATCCCTGAAGTCACCATCCAGCCACCACTAATGTGACAGTGGATTCATAGACATAAGACACTTTGAAAATGAAGACTTCTGATTTAAGACTGACCTAGGTGTGATAATATGGACAGTGTAGCACCCAATCACAGGCTATGGAGAATGTGATGTTGTCAGGCTGAACAAATACAGAGAATGGCAAAAAAAAAGAAAAAGAAAAAGAAAAAAAAATCCCTTTTTAGGTTGTGACATCCAGACCTCCTTTCTGAACTGAGAATGGAAGATTATACATTTTCATTAAATGCTCTAGGTCTGAGAGAAGATCTTTTCATATTATCACTCTTCCATAACGATAAGTCTTGTAAAAAGCATCTTCCTAAAATGCTTTTACCAAAATTGACAGAGAAAAATGATACTAGAGGCTTTCATTTCTCAAAGCTATGTTTAAAGCCTTTCTCCAAGATGTATTTGTTTTACTTTTAGTGTTTTCTCTATAACATCATCGATTATATCTGATTCCTCATTAACTTAGAAAATATGAGTAAGACTTGGGATTTTCATGTAATGCTTAGATCCAGGGAAGAGAATACTGATGATTTTGTTTGTTTATGTTATGATGTCTTAGTAGACTTAGAATAGACATCAGTTTTATCTTCTTTACTAGCTGGAGTAAAATTGATATTTGATGTTGAGCAAAAAAAAAAAATATTTATTTTTGAAAAAGTCTTTCCTCGTTTATTTGTTAATTTATTTTATAGTTCTTTCATAATTTATTTTAGTTATTAAGATTAAGTTAATATCATCAACATCCCAGCATCATCATCAGTGTATGTATTAGTCCATTCTTACACTGCTATAAATACCTGAGAATAGGTCATTTATAAAGAAAATATGTTTAATTGGCTCATGATTCTGCAGGTTGTACAGGAATCATGATGCTGGCATCTGCTTGGCTTCTAAGGAGGCCTCAGGAAACTTTTACTCATGGCAGAAGGCGAAGTGGGAGCAGGAGTCCTCACATGGCTAGAGCAGAAGGAAGAGAGGGTGTGGAGGTGCCACACACTTGTTAGCAATCAGATCTCACAATAACTCACTCACTCTCACAATATTGCGAGAACATCATCAAAGGGGAAATTCACCCCCATGATCTAGTCACCTCCCACCAGGCCCCACATCCAACACAGGGATTACAATTTGACCTGAGATTTGGGTAGGGACACAGACCCAAACCGTATCACTGTAGTAACAACTCTCGTTTCTTGAGTACCTACTTTGTATCATAAGTTGTGATGAATACTTTGCACAATATTTCCTTTAAGTCTTAAAATAACCTCACGTAATGGGTATTCTGGATTTTGCAGACAAGGAAACTCAGAGACATTCAGTAGTTTGCGCAAGGTCACATGACTATGTAGGTCAAAGTCTAGACTCAGTCTGAGGTTTCTCTACCCTCTTAACAGAGTTATAGATAGAGGATCATCTATATCCCTAATAGGCAAGGCACAAAGCCATTCAAGCCATGTCAGATGAATGCTTCTCCTGTGGTGTGCCTTGTGCTTGTGCCAGGAATAACAAAGTGGCAACTGCCAAGTCCCTGGCCTTAAGGAATACCCTGAATAAGGAGATGGAAAATAGCAGATGAAAAGCTAACTAGAAGTGTTTCTCAAAGTTTGTATCAAAGTACCTCTTAGGACAGTAAAGATGATTCCATAATTTGAAGGATCTGAAAGTGTAGCCGCAAATGACTGCAATGCGCAGGGCATATCTTTGAAGTCTTGTTTTCGATAAAAAGAAATATTGCATTCTACTCCATAATACACTCGTGCTGGGTTTTTTGTTTATCTGTTTGTTTTCACTCTTGAGACAGGGTCTCACTCTGTTACCTAGGCTGAGGTGCAGTGGCGCAGTCTTGGCTCACTGCAGCCTCCAACCTCCTGGGCCCAAGTGATCTTTACACCTCAGTCTCCAGAGTAACTGGGACTACAGGTGAGGGCCACTATGCCTGGCTAATTTTTATTTTAGTGTTTGTTAGAGATGGGGTCTCATTATGTTGCCATGCTTGTCTCAACTCCTGGGCTCAATCCATCCTCCTGCCTTGGTCTTTCAAAGTGCTGGGGTTACAGGCATGAGTCACTGCACCTGACCTACCCATGCCGTTTTCATGTAAAAGTAAATTTTAAAATCACTTACGCACAGGGCCTGGTAGCTCATGTCTGTAATGCCAGCACTTTGGGAGGCCAAGGTGGGTGGATCATGAGGTCAAGAGATCGAGACCATCCTGGCCAACATGGTGAAACCCCATCTCTATTAAAAATACAAAAAAAATTAGCCAGGCCTGGTGGCGGGCACCTGTAGTCCCAGCTACTCGGGAGGCTGAGACAGGAGAATCACTTGAACCCAGGAGGTAGAGGTTGCAGTGAGCCAAGATTGTGCCACTGCATTCCAGCCTGGATGACAGAGTGAGAGTCTGTTAAAAAAAAAAAATCACTTACCATTGACTGGAATAGCTGCTCACACAGTAAATACTGCACTTTCTCCTTGTGATTTCACATGCCCTTGGTACATCACATTGAGGTTAACTTCACCGTACACATTACCTGATTTGAGAAGAAAGGAAGTTTTCAGTGATAAATTCCACAATATTAAAGGTGGAATAGGGAGCGGGGGATGGGACTTAAGTAGCTAACCACAAAACTCATTTCTCTTTTAAGCACTATTCATCCATTCAAAAGTATATCTCTGATCTTTCTGGTAATGAAACTCTTCTGTATCTTGTCTGTGGTGGCAGAGACTCAAACTTGTACATTGCATAGAACTAAACATGTGCAGACACACACAGAAGTGAGTACAAGAAAAATGGGGAAAATCTGAATGAGATCAATGGATTGTGTTAACGTCAATATCCTGGTTGGGATGATGTATGGGTTGGGTAAGGCTTTTAAGACCTCACCACTACAGGAAATGGAGTAGAGATATGCTATGGTGGTGTCTCCTCCAAAAGTTATTTCAAAACTTAATCCCTGATGCAACAGTATTAAGACATGTGGTCTTTGGCGGTGAGTAAGTCATGAGGTCTCCTCCTCATAAATACGATTAGCACTCCTGTAACAGGGCTTGAGGTTGAAGAGAGTGCTTTCATGCCCTTCCATTCCTCCCACCATGTGAGGACACAGAGTTCATCCCCACTGGAGGATGCAGCAACTAGCACCATCTTGGAAGCAAAGACCAGGACCCTTATCAGACAGTGCCTTGATCCAGGACTTCCCAGTCTCCACGACCATGAGAAATGAATTTCTACCTATTATGACTGACTTAGTCTGTGAAATTTTGTGACATCAGCACAAATAGACTAAGACAAGGTGCATGGGATCTATCTGTACTAATACTTACAACTGTATCACAAAATATCTCTGTATTAGTCAGAGTTCTCAAGAGAAACAGAATGAAGTACCCTCAAAGAAACACCCAACATAAGGTTTGAAAAAATATGTGGGCATTCCGTGGCCCAGGCAGATTAACAAATAAGGTTAACTGTCATAACCTCAAAACTAAATAAATAAATACATAGATAATGAAATACATCAAAATATCTTTTTAAAAAAGATTTAGTTTTTTGAAAGTGAACAAAAATACATCTCTAGATTGAGAGAACCCAAATCTAGGTTTACATCTGGATTTTCTATTGTTTCATTGGTCTATGTGTCTGTTTTTATGTCAGTATTGTGCAGATTTGGTTACTATTGTAGCATATTTTTTCTCACCCCAGTTAAAATGGCTTTTACAAAAAAAAAAAAAAACAGGCAATAACGAATGCTGGTGAGGATATGGAGAAAGGGGAACCCTGGTACGCTGCTCCTGGGAATCTAAATTAGTACAACCACTATGGAGAACAGTATGGAGGTTCCTCAAAAAACTAAAACTAGAACTACCATATGATCCAGCAGTTCCACTACTGGGTATATACACAAAAGAAAGCAAATCAATAGATTCAAAAGACACCTGCACTTCCGTTTTTATTTCAGCACTGTTCACAAAAGCCAAGATATGGAATCAGCCTAAGTGTCCATCAGTGGACAAATGGATAAATAAAATGTGGTATATATACACAATGGAATATTATTCAGCCATAAAAATGAATGAAATCCTATCATTTGTAAGAACATGGATGGACCTAGAGATCATTATGTTAGGTGAAATAAGCCAAGCACAGAAAGACAATATCACACATTCTCACTCACAAGTGGGAACTACAAAATGGACCTAATGAAGAATGAGTAGACTGGTGGTTACAAGAGGCTGGGAAGGATAGGCAGTAGAAGGGGATGAAGAGAAGTTGGTTAATGGGCACAAATATATGGTTTGGTAGAAAAAATAAGACCTAGTGCTAGATAAATTAGCAGGGTGACTATAGTTTATAATAATAATATTTCAAAATAGCTAGAATAGAAAAATTCTGATGGTTATTGCAGAAAGAAAAGACAAATATTTAAGGTGATAGATATCCTAAGAACTAGAATATCCCAAGAACTCATCTGATCTTTACAAATTATGTGAATTTATTAAATTATCTTATGTACCTCCAAAACTATGTACATCTATTATAGTCTGCATCAATAAAAATTAATTAATTAAATTTAAAACATTTTTTACAAAGATAAACCAAATCTAGACTGCTTTAGATATTGAGATCCTGGGCTTCAAATTTGATACCATGATTAGATAAGACTTCGGAGATTTTAGGATGGGGGTAAGTTTATTTTTCATATAGGAGGGAGATAAATAGTTGTTCCTAAGAGTGTGGACAGTAGTATATTAAATAATTGTCCCTAGCTCTTCACTATTCTCTACAATCACATCCTTTGCCATGTGACCTAGTAGCTCTTTCCACTACAGTCAAATGTTTCCTCTTGACCCTTATCTTTAGCCTCTACCATATGGCTTACTTTAGCCAATGGGATATTAGCAAATATAATACAGAGGCCTGAAATATGTTTACAGCAATCTCCTGAATGTTGGCCATGGCCTGGAGCCAACCCCAGTTTTGGAGCCTTAATCAACGGACTCCACTGACCTACAGGAACATGAGCAAGAATAAATGATTGTTAAGCTATTGAATTTGGGGCCAGCTTGTTTCACAGAAAGATCCTCCCAACCTCAAATATTATTCTTTTATTTCATAAAAACATGAGTACCTACTCCATACCCGGAACTGTGTTATCTGCTGGAGGTATGATCATAAATCGAATGGACGTGCCACTTGATCTAACAGAGTTTACAGTCATGAATCTGTCATTATGTTAAAAAGAGAAAGGATTCTTTTATACAGCCAGCCATTACACCACCCAACTTCTACTGATTTGAAAATTTAAATTCTGAAAAAACATTCCTGGTCACATGAATGTTTAATTCTATGCAATATTTGAAGAACAAAGCTGTGGTGTAGAAACTAGACAATGCGTTGAGTTTTTGCTTTTTGTTTGTTGTGTGTGTGTTTATTTCAAGGCAGAACAGTATAAATAGAAAATATGGTGGCCGACTATTGTAAATAGCACAGTGGCTTTTGAAGCAAATGAACATGTGCATGTGTGTGTCTGTGTCTGGGTACACACGTATACATATAGGAAATATCAATAAATTGCATCATCAACTCAGTTACCCAACTGAGAAAAATGTGGTTATCTTTGACTCATCTTTTACGAAATTTTCCTATATATGTATCTTGAATACATAAACTTCTCTCCTTCTCTGTCATACTGTCATCCTACCCAAGTCATCACCATTTGCTCCCTGGAATATGAGGCAATAGCATCTTAACAGATCTGTCTGTCTTCTCTGCATCTTCTCTTTCTCTCTCTGTTCATTCTACATCACAAAGATTTATCCAAAATATAAAACTGATCCTTAATTCTTCATGCGTGATGCCCTTTGATGTTTTCCTATTTCTGTAGAATAAAAGTCCAAGCTTCTTAGTACACAAAGCAAGACCTTCCATTATCTCACCCTTGCTACCTCATCTCCTGCAAGTCTCAGCTTCAAACCCATTCACCAGTAAGTAGTCACTTCATCAGGGCAGGGATTAGAGCAAAGCAAGCAAGGTGTGTAGGGTGCAAAATTTAAAGCGGTACTCACTCTTTAGTTTATCCAGAGCGCACCTGAGAATGTGTGCCTACTTAAATTGCATGCCTTATGCACCCCGCTTGTCTCACTCTGGTCCCCAGTGCTTCATGCTCTTTTATATCTTCCACTAGTTTGCTCATACTGTTGCCCTTGCTGAAACACCTTTTTTACCCCCCTTTTTCTGCTGATTCTAATTCACATGGTGTAGATTTGGCTTAACTGGCATTTCCTAGGAAACAGTTCGTGACCGCCAGGCTGGTAAGTTCACTCACATGTTTCATGCTTCAGTAGAAGCTCTGGGCTTACTTTTACCTTAGTACTCATCATATTTGGTGGAAACTGCTTATCTCCTTGACTATAACATCTATTAAAATGCGGTCTTTTGTTTTTTGTCTTTGTAGCATAAAAAGCTAGGCCAGGCATCCTTTAAGCCCTCTCTAGTCCCCCATATCTAACTCTTCACTAAGTCATGTGGCTGTTACCCTCTAAATGCTTGTCAAAGCCATCCACCTGTCTCCACGTGCACTCAAGCCACAGAGGCTCATGATCTCCTACCCGCAATATTACAATAGCCTCTTACCAGGCCTTCCAAAGTCCATTCCCTGACCCAACCCACCATCTCCATTTGCCTACTTCATTGTAGCCACGGTAATCTTTGCAAAATGAAGATATTATCATGTCACCACCAACCCATAAGCACTTCTTATTGTACTTGGGACAAGAAATCAAACTTCAAGGATGGTCTAAAGCCCCTCTTCAAGGTCTGACTGTGTCTGACCTCTACAGCTAATCTCACTAAATGTGCGCCATTGTTTATATTCCGGCCATTCTTTCATTCTAGAAGACTCCGTGCAAGTTCCTCACCTAAGGGTCTGGACACAGACAGATGAGCGCTTCAGCCCCTCCATCATTTCACTGGATTAACATCTCTTCCTCTTCATGTCAGTCCAAAAACTGCTAGGTGGAGCCTCCATGATTTCTCAATCTAGGTCAAGTCCCCTGCTATTCATCTTCCTAGTTCTACCTTCCTATGAGTGTCTTCCTTCAAAATACTCATCTCAGTTCATAGTGTTTCATGTTTCTGGGAAATGATTTTTATTCAACAGTATCTAGTTGTGTGTTCACAAAATAAATTATTTACTACAGAAATCTCCAAACATGCACAAAGTACAGAGACTGTAACAAAGTCCCATTTCTTCTTGTTGTTTTAGCAATCAACAACATATGGATATTTTATCTTTTGTATCTTTATACTATCTCACTTCCTCCCAAATATTATATTTTACCCTTAAATACTTTAGCCTATATCTCTAAACAATAAGGACTCTTTCTTTAAAAAAAATTCCCAAAATATTTTCACATGATCACACTTCCAAAAACTAATGAGCATTTTAAAATTATCGAATGTCTTGTCAGTGTTCAAATACTGTGTAAAATTTTAATTCTGACTTCCCACAACACTGAGAACAGGGTCAATCAG